CAGATGCATCACCTACTTGGACCACTTTGACAAATTAGTGGCTGATATTAAAACTTAAGAGGTGGGGAAAAATAAGACCTTTATAATCCCCAAGTTGCTGGCCATTTCCTCACTTTTAAGAATAGATAAAAAAAATCAGATTTCTCTCTAAGCTTCTCCTCTCTCTTTCAAAGCATAGCAGCAACTAGAAGTTCCTAGGGTTCTTGGATAAACCCAAGCCCTTGCAAGGTAAGATAAGTGAAATTACTAATGGATTTAGCCTAGTTCTCTCATGGAATGCTAGATAAACATATTATTAGTTAAGAACAAGTAGAGGACTGAATCTGTCAAAAGTTTAATTGCTCACTTTCCTTTGTTATTGAGAGACTTTTCTCTTTTTCTTTGACCTATGTGAAGGGAAGCTCAAGTTATTGAAGAGTTAAAGTTAAAAGAAAACGAGTTATAAGAATTAAGGTAAAGTGACTACCCTATCTTTGTTCTTCCTTAAACACGAGTCTAAGTATGATATTTTAAGTATACTATTGATAAGAACTCGTTGGATGATGATGGGAAACCATGGTTTCACGTCCTCTATTGTATGTTGGATTGTTAGGACTGTTTTGGGACATGTTGATGTGTAAACATATTGGGGACAACTTGGTTGATGTCTAGGAAGGGTGTAAATTGTTGATATTGAAATGTAGTTGTGTAGTGTACAAATGCAATAAAAGAAGGCGGGGTTGAAAGAACACCCTTAGTTTGGTAATTACGGGTTTGCTGCCCGAGCATTATTGTTGAGTGAGATTGGACTTCCTAAGCATGTTTAGTAACTACTAATACTAGTTTATCACCTACTCTATTGTAGATAAGTATTTGAAAAGAAAGGAAGGTACTTCAAGGTAACTACAAGGTGGTACAGCAAGGTATGTAAGGCTTTTCGATTTCCTACTAATTGGCATGAAATCTAGACTTGTCCTCGACACATAGATGCAGCTTACCAGTTCCAACATGACTTATGACCTTGTTCTCACTCTTTAACATGTCTGCACGTTCCAATACATGTTCATTGTCAAATTTGTACATATACATTAAATACCCTGCATGAGTTCTCCTTTTAACTAAATAAGGTCCATATATTATTTCAGCTCCTATGCATTTCACTAATTGTGTAACTACTCTCTACGTTGTTGTTCTTGCATTATATAATTATTACACGTCACTTGTTGACTACATAGTCCCATAACTCAAAAAGCTATGACCACCAAAAATATCATCTCAAATGTTAACGGAAAGATATTAAATGAATCTGCTTATTGATGGGTGGTATCCCAGGGGTGGATGAATCACCTAGCATGGGTAGATCCCAATATTACGGGTGGTATCCCAGGGATTAAAGGAAAGCCTAGCATGGGTCGATCCTGATTTATATGTCTACCACTGATCAGCTGGTCATTCGTATTATATGATGTGCACAGAGTGTAAAGTAAAGCATGATAAAGTAAAGAAAAGAATGTAAAGTACCTGATTCCATAATATGAGAAAATATGGTCTTGTATCCTTACATTGGTATATGATTTCATTTGAGTTCTTATTTCACAGACAGTATTTTATGCCTTACATACTCAATACATTCTCCCGTACTGACGTCCCTCTCTCGGGGGACTTGCAATTCATGTTGTAGGTACTGGAGCTAGTAGATCTCCCCAACAGGAGAACAGGACATCCAGCGGCTATTGGTGAGCTCCAGATTGATTCGGCGCTTTTCGAGTCTATAACATGTATTTTGGTATTGTATAGTAGCTGAGTGTAAGGCGGGGCCTGTCCCGACCTTAACCCCATAATGTTTTATCATTTAGAGGCTTTGTAGACTACGTATAGTAAAGTGTGGTTGTGTCTCGTGTCTTAGACATCATGGCCCCAACGGCCAAGTCATGTGAACTTTCTTTTGGGTTGTTAATACTGTCTACTTTCATGAAAACATGTAATCCACTATGGAAGCACCTTTAAATATTCATAGATAGAGCATTATTACAGGTTGGTCCTCCCGAGCCTTCTCGACAACGGGTGCCGGTCTGCCTTAATGGGATTTTGGGTGTGACATCCCCTATGCTAAAAATGAGCTTGTTCCAATGAGGCCGGTAATTGTTGAAGAGTGTGTATGGACAATCGCAAGTTTAATACATGGACTGAGAAAGACAACTTCTCAATGGTGTTCATCGATTAGAAGTTAGATTGTCTTGCTCGAAAGGGTTAGTATTGTTTTCTAGATAGGTATTCGAGCTACAATCAGATCTACATAGCTCCGGAGGACCAAGAGAAGACAACTCTTAATTGCCCTTATGGGACTTTTGTATTAATGAGAATGTCGTTTGGGTTAGGTAATGCTCTGGCGACCTCTCAGCGTTGCATAATGTCTATATTTTCTGATATGGTGGAAGACACGATAGAGGCATTTATGGATGATTTCCCTGTAGTAGGTGATTCGTTCGATGACTGTAAAACTCACATGGCTGAGGTGCTAAAATGGTGTGAAGAGTGCAATCTTATGCTAAACTGGGAAAATGCCACTTTATGGTGAAAGACGGCTAGGGCATCGGATTTCGCTAAAAGGTATTGAAGTTGATAGAGCTAAAGTTGAGGTAATAGAAAAACTCCAACCACCCATATCTGTAAAAGGTGTTAGAAGTTTTCTTGGGCATGTAGATTTCTATAGGAGGTTCATAAAGGATTTCTCTAAAATTGCACACCGATTATGAAAGCTTCTTTAGAAGGAGTGTTAGAGAATATTATTCATCCTATATACTATGTGAGGAAAGCTTTAAATATTGCTCAAAAGAACTATAACAAGAATTGTTTATTGTGGTTTTCACATTTGAGAAGTTTAGATCATATTTGTTGGCGCTAAAGTCATTGAGCATACCAATCATTCCACGTTGAGGTACCTGATGGCTAAAAAAGATGCAAAACCAAGATTGATTGGGTGGTTTTTTTTGCAAGAATTCAATTTTGAGGTGAAGGATAGAAATGGAATAGAAAATCAAGTCAGCGATCACTTGTCCAGATTAAAGGAGGAAGCTATGATCAAGCTAGAAGATGGATTTGAGATTAATGATGCATTCCTTGATGAGAAGGTATTGGCTGCTTCTTATGACCTTATGCCTTGGTTCGCAGACTTTGCTAAATATTTTGCAAGTGATTTAGTGCCTATGGATCTCATTTCACCAAAGAAAGAAATTCAGGTTTGATGTGAAGAATTTCTTTTGGGAAGAGCCTTACTTATTTCGTGTTTATGCCGATAGGATTATTCATCAATTTTTCCTCTCCCTTAACTAGACTATGACTGACGAATTACTGCATGCATATATTAAATGAACCCTGTAGTAGCTCTATTCAATTTGATGGAAGCCTATACATGTGTATAATGATCTACTTCTCTTTTGTACTAATGATGTGGATGAACTAGGCTCATGTATCTTCTATCTAGGTAACCTTTCTATTCCCCTCTTTTAATGTTGTTGTTATCAGGACCAAATATCAAGACTTGAATCAATACTAAAATGACTTCTCTATCTAACAAAGGTTCACAAAATTGTTCCCGAGTGCAGCATTAAATTCGTTAGGATTGAAGAGTTGATACCTTTTTATTGCCTCATAGACTTAGCAACCTCTCTTTCATAATCACCTATCTCATTCCTTCTATAGCATCCTTATATCACCCCTACTCTTATGTTTAGAGAATTTGACGTATCCCATCTCTTTCTAACTAGAAGCTCTACATACATATTTGGCATGTGTAATGCAAGCTTTATTCTCACATGCTTCCTATCTAACAAGTACCTTTTGATCAAAACTGGTAGCTTCATGCACTCTAATCCCACTATGTACAACCTGACTAATCAAAACTTAGGTCTACCCAATCAATTTTCCTTTTGTTAACCTTACCCTTTAGTACACCTCCTAATCCTTTGTAGCCAAAACATAGATCATAATAGGAACTACCATACATATATCATTTTCAGCAATTGGCACACATATCCCTAAGTGTTATAACCATGAAAAGAATACAAATGTTATTAGTACGTACTCTGGGTTGTTGGCACATACCATATAAAAGACAAATATTAACATACTCGGGATGATATATGGTAAGAATTTTGGACTTGTCAGCCAATTAGGGGTATCTCTAGTAACACTATTGCACTGATACATCAACCTATCAAATTGTGCCACTGCCTTCTTCCAGCTAAAAGAAACTGGTTCAACATCAACAATTTCGAGAACATGTGTAACGCTGAAAATTCTATGGATATCACAAACTAATAACAAGTTTCCTCTATAGGGATAGATCCTATAAGTATGGAGGAAATATAGAACTCAAGAGTTGGCTACATCCTCCTAAGAAGATGTGCCTGGAACTGCTACAACTCATATATGTAAACAGGTAACCAAACATTTTTTAAGCATATGGATAATACTATATCTTTCTCAATTGAACCAACGTGATTCAAATGGTACAAATGCAACTTAAAATGCAAATAACATAAAAGTTTTTACATATCTCATGGAGTGGGACGGTCGAATAAAATGAGCTCAATCTAGTCTAAATTTTGATAACTTCAGATCATTTCATATAGGTTGCATATTGAAATTTTAGCTACCGTTAACCTTAACCATCATAAGTATAATATGAATAGCATGATCAAGTACAAGTGGAAATTGACTTCTTAACTTCGCTCTATCGCACGATCTGGATTATGAAGGAAGGTAATTTTTACTAAATGTCCAAGCAACCCCTAATTATAAATGTGGCGCGCAACACATTCATAAGCAAGGATCTACTAGACACGGTTTTGTAGACTCCCTAGGACGAACTGCTCTGATACCACTTTTGTCACACCCCAACCCTAGGTGAGGCAGACAAGTACCATATGTACACATGCTTTACAAGTGACCTATGATGAGAAAGTAAACTACTATGCAGATAGATTTACTGATGAGAAGCTTCATATACAACACATATTGACTAGCTAAACTAATACATGTGACAAGTGAAAATATGAATACAGATGATAGCTTTACAATGTCCACAAAGCCTCTACTGGAATCCATGAATATACAACTATGAAAATACGCATAGTAAAGACTCGGCAATGCCCCGAATCAACCTGGAGCTCACCAACAATCGCTGAGTATCATGTGCTTCTATTGGGGAGATCAACTAGTTGAGTACCTGTACCTATAGCATGAAATGAATCATTCCCAATAAGGGATGTCAGTACGAAATAATGTACTGAATATGTAAGGCAAAATACAACCATATGTAAAATGAGAGCTCAAGTGAAACCAAATACCAATAGACAAAGATTAGAGACCACCTCTACTTATATTTGTGGAATTGTTTATGTTACATTATTTTCTTAATTTTCTGTACATTATAATATTTATAAGAAATATGATACAAATGACCAGTTGATCAGTGGTAGAAGAGGATGACCTATGCTAGGCATTTTAACCCCAGGGATGCTGTCCTCATAATTCCAGAAATTGGGATCGGCGCATACTAGGCTTTCGCCCCTGAGCTACCACCCTCATATACCAATTGGGATCGGCCCATGCTAGGCTTTCGCCCCTGAGCTTCCACTCTTAATTAAATAGATTGCTTCACTTAGACTCTTTAATCTTTGAGATTGTTGTTTTGATGTTCTTAACTTTTTTGAGATTGCTGTTTTGATGATCATAACTCTTTTGAGATTGTTGTTTTAGTGGTCATAATCATTGTTGAGATTTGGAACTATGGACCAGTAGCAAAAGACATGAATATGGACTTACGATAATAACAATGACATGGGAAGTAAATGTGACACCAACGTAATACTTAGGAGCTTATATGACTCAGTAAGCATTTTGACATCTCAAATTAAAGCACATATCAAGTGAAGACATTTAACA